GCTGGTCAAGATGGCTCACTACACGGAGGCTGTCTGCTCATAGAGATCCCAGCAGCTAAGACCACAGGTCTTTCCTTGAAGGTGGGTGCAGGTGGCACATCTGCATGTCCACCACTCAGTCCTGGTCATGATGCCTGCAAAGAGCCTTTGAGAAGTTTCCGTGCTTTAGTGTCATTTGTGACCTTACCAGTGACATGTTTAAGATGTGACTTCCACTGTCTTCCCCCACAGGGTAGGGGTGGGGTGGGTGGGGCTTAACTTCTGTAAAACACTGATAGTCTTTAACTAATTGATTTATAACTGTCCCTCTAGAAAGCATATAAAGGGGCAATCATTGTCTTAACCAAAGTGGCCCAGTTTCCAGCACAGAAATATTACTGGTATGAATTACATAACTTTAAACATAAATGAGATGTTTCAATAAAGCTTTAAAATGTCAGTAAATACATGTGTCATGTAATGGGTACAGTTAATTCCTCAGAGATGAATGTACAACTCACTCCTGTTTTGATGTAGATCTTTTCCCATTTGCAGGTGACCTATCTGAGCCTTGTAACCTGTTGCTCCTGCTTATACAAACATGCAATATAAGGAGGGAACAGAAAAGGGCTCTTTCAGAGACATACCATGCCTCCACCATTGCTACACTCCCCTCTTTGGCAAATGTCATCCTGAGGCTTTATTTTTGGGAGATGTCTTATTTTCTCTAGTCTGATAATCCAGATGGAAGCCTGGGAGATGTTTCCAGAGTTCTCTGCTGGGAACACAACAGGCTGACACCAGCGTCTCCATTCACTGCCACCCTGGCCACAATGAATTAAAGCCTTCATATTAAAGAAATAAAGTGAAGGAACTAACAAACATTTCCAGATGGCCCCGTGAACGCTCCTCAGTTAGTCCTGAGTGAGGCCGGCTGTGAGGCGCATGGCCCTCCACGTGCCCTTGCTCCCCCTCCCTGGAGGGGCTGCCTCCCCCCTAGGCTGCTTTTTCTCCCTGGTGGTAGAGGCCTCGCACCCTTCTTCATAGGCGCTCTGGGCATCTGCCTTGTGATGCCTGATCTTTTCAACGGTGCACGGCTCCAACTCAAATAAAACCAGAGGTTTCCCTTTTCCCACAGCTCAGCTCCATCCCGATGCTACCCTCCGGTGAGACCCTCACTCACACCCTCGGCCCAGAGCTTTGGGAACGTCATTCGCTGTGAGTTTTAAACAGGGTAACCAACACCTCCTCCCAGCCCTGGTTCTCCTTCTCGCCTTCAGGTTCCAGATTAACTGCCCCTCACTCAGAGAGGCCTAATGAGACTGCCTAATTAAAACAGTTCTCCCCGACTTCGCTCCGTTTTTATCACCCGTTCCGTCTTCTTCGAGGCACTTAGCACTATCTAAAACTGCCCTTTTCATTTAGTTATTTCCCGATGTAGTGCCAGGTCCTAAAACAGCGTTTGCCTTGGTAGGCTTCGGTAAAATATTGTTGAGCGGCAGAGGGATGGAGGGTAAGAATGAACGGAGGAGTAACGAGCGCTCAAAAATGGAAGGCACGCCCCCGCGGCGGCCCCTGCAGACCGCACCCTCCTTGCGCGCCAGGAACCCGCCGCGGAACCCGAGAGCGGCGGCAGCGGTTTCCCGTCAACGGACCCGGGACTCTTAAGAGAGCACACAGGAAAGGCCGGGCTGCGAGCGGGACCTGCCGTGGTGAGTGCGGCGGGGCCGGAACGGGGCCTGGGGCGCCGGGTGCGGGCCCGGC